ACCTATGCAAGTGACCGCCAAAAGTTAATTAAATTAACCATCATTAATGCCACGAGTCGCCAAAATTGAACTTTCAGTTTTTCTATCATGCCATTTACCTTATCACAAACGAATGTTTGTGCATTCAAATGTGTCAATCTCGCTTACTTCATGATACTATTTGTTGCGAAATTCATTAATGGAGAGTAAATTGCGCCATTTCCACTTGAACGCTGTTGTCCAAGAATGCATCGTTAAATTTAGGGATGTGTTACTAATCTAACTTTGTTCTTGCACCATGGTAGCTTGTTGGCACAGTGTTTAAGAGTTCTGCTTTGAGGTCCGAAAGTGCTGAGTTCGATTCTCCTACAGGGCAATCTTTGTCTTATTTGCGAATTTCCTTGAGAAAGAAATTTTCTACACACACTGCTGCCCACCGGAGATGTTCATTCGGTAGAGGGTCGAACTCAGAAAGTATAGGTCCAAAGTTCAAGCTCCGGTCAGGGTCACTCAGCCTTCTACGTTGCAAAGTTGGTGAGTACACGAGTACCACTCTGTAGGAAGGAAACAGAAGACTACAGGCTACGCTTGCCGCATGACTGTAGACTATGCTTTTACAATAAGGCACTACTGGCCGATGGCATAGAAACGGAGATCAGCACCGCACCATAAGCTTCATGAAAAGGGTGACAAACTTACCCTTATCCTTTCTTGCAACATAATATTCATGTCTGTTTCGACAGGATCAACGTCACATCGTCTATCGTGATCTTCTTGCCCAAATGATTCAACTTTCCTTTTAATAAATATGATTTTAATTCAATATACTTCAGGTCTTTGACTTGCCAGCCGTTTTTCGTTTGCCTCCATTGACGTACATGCAGTTCAGTGCACTGCCATGCGTTGAATGAACGTTGCGCCTTTACATTTTTCAATTGTGGCAGAAATGATGGTTAATGGTCCGTTTTCCGTGGTCATTTTACATCTTTGAGAATAACAAATCCTGAGGTTGCCCATATTTTGGAATGGTTTCGAAAGTAATTCAAAAGCACCTTTTTGGTTAAATAAACATTGATGAACTGTAAACGTACAACTAACTTATCTTATTGAACCGTAAAACTCCGCTCATACGGTTCTTTTTTAGGCTGATTTTGGACGATTTAGACTCCCATCGTGATTCCTGGCCTTTTAAATCTCCTGTGGATACAAAACTTTTCCCTCTGTATAAGAAAGTGATTAAGAAGCCGATGGATTTATCAACCATTCGTTCGAAGCTGCTGAATCACAAGTAAGCGCTGAATTATCACGTTAATTAGATTGTAACTCGTTTTGTTCTTCGCTTTATTCAACATTGGCCATCGTCAGAGAACAGCCATAAGAAATTTGGCAAAACGTACAGTCATTGCTATCCCTATTCAAATGAATTTTGTTAAAGCTAACTGGTTAGAGCAAACTAATTAGTTTGCTAGTTAGAACTAATTCGTACCAAGAAACTTACTAATTCAATGGATAAAGGGGCATGAAGATATGTGAAAATTAAGTATGCATCAGAAATTACGTTCGTGCTTGCGGCTTGTTGTATGACTGAAATGAAAGATGACTGTGAATAAAACGCACCCCTGGTCGCCGAATTCTGCATTACAACCCTAAGTATAAACACTTACAGTGTTGCATGCTGCATCGGTTCCGATAAATGTATTCCTGTGCCTGTTCATATTTCACTTCCACCCATGAAATACAAAATTTTCTGTTGGTTAAATTCTATTCAGAAAATAAATCCTACGCTCGTTGTTTATCATTACGGATCGTCCCACTATGCCTAAGAAACGCGACGATGTTTTGCGGTCGTGAATCATAAGCAGCGTTTTAGGTATTCCAAAAACGAAGATTTCCTAAAGGACGTTCATCTTATATTCGACAACTGTTCCACGTTTAACGAAGACAGTTCTCCTGTCGGAATTGCCGGATATTACCTCAGAGAATTTTTTAAAAATCGATGGAGTGATCTCGATTCGGCAAATCGAGCCCACCAGCCAGCGAAACGTTAGTTATATTTTGAACTGGTCGTTCCACTGCCGGTTTTGTGAATAACTTCTTACTGGAATCTCATTGTGTATTACTTAATTTTTATCACTGTTTTATAGCTCCGTCCTCCCACACGGTATATCTGAACGGTATTATATAAATCTTAAGGTATAATATTGAATAAAATCAGTTTTCCTGAACAAAATGGTAAACGACAAGCAGGTCGTTACTGGTCGGACGTGCAACATATCTCGACAATTTTATGGCCTCGCTGAAAAACCAGTTTACAGCAGTGTTCAACTTCATTACTGTTACAGCGTCCCTTTAAAGAACTCCGTCGCTGAGTCGCCGTTTTTCTGCGTCTTCAGGGATGAAGTGTAAAAAATAATGCGCAACAGAAAGAGTACTTGTTCACAGTACAGGATATGGCCTTGCCCTTTCAGAAATTGCCAGATTGTTGCATAAAATTTGGCGTATTTTTCAGTCGACTAATCGCCGTAGTTTCCTTTCCCGTAGTTGCGCTAAAATTTACATTTTTAATTAGTGACAATGTAGAAAGCATTCACAATGCAGGTGTTAGAATGCAGGTGTTAGAAACACAATGCAGGTGTTAGAAACAAGGTCATAACGACAACTTGTACTGTTTACATCACGTGTAATTTGCGTCTAAGCTCTTCACAGAGACCAGATGCTAACAGTCAGATCTGCTATAAGTAAAACGTTGCTTTCACAGCTATGCGGTGCGCTAACTCTGGATACTGCTTTCAACGGAATTATACACGAACTCCTACTTGATGGCACAGTAATCGAAATTAGTCTCACCATAAGCAACATTAAATGAAGGTGCTACGAGTAACTCACTGACATCAAGCTTCTTAGTCTCAGTAGGAAACCCGCGCCTCATTCGCTGCAGCTAGGCTCTTCCACATTGACGCTGGTATTCAAACTTTTGCCGCATGTCATATGCTGGCTGAAATAGTAGAAGAATCATTAGTTCAAATTCCTGCCAGATCAACCGTCTTTTATTCTGTCTTGATAAGCAGACGCATACTTAGGGTAAAGTAACCAACATACTGAAAAATACGCTTTTCGCCTAGTTGTAGACTCATCCACCAAAATAAAACCTGACCTTATAATAGTTATGAGCTAACTGAATACTCTTCCGTATGAGCAATTTTTATGTTTGTAGTTGCATATATGGCTTAGAAACAGGGTTCTCTTAACTGATGTCACGAAAACGTTAACGTCGCTCCATAAGCTACATGAGAATGGTGCCTTTCGCGGAAATGTAACGTAAACCAAATGGCTGCAGATGTTCCATTTTCCTTATGCTACCAGATGACGTTGGAGAAGGTTCGCTTAAAATCCCGGTGAACATGACGACAAGTGAACAATAAAAGCGAGCAGATACGCGGAGAAAATCGAAGCTAAAGTTTGCTTTACCGTCGAACAAGAGATCTGCCACGTCAGATCATTGCTTGAAACTGCCAACGCCGAGTAGCAGGTTTCGTCTTGTAAAATGTAAATGACAGACGGGAGTCGACTTGGTGACAAAATCTTTCAACTTCATGCTGCTCGCTGCAATTTGACTAGAAAAATGCAACTAGTTACAAAACCGACAGAAAACCATTTTACATCTGAAACATCTATAGTGTAAGCAAGCCAGCAAACATTGAATCCATACAAATAGTGAGTTCATGTTCATCTAATTACTTATCCTCGATCAACGACTATTTTTAAGCAAACGAGAAAGCACAGTCCTAATCCAGGTGTTTGTGATATATTCACTTACCTTATATGGGCAGATTTTGTCCTCGGTTGAATTTACTAACCCTACCACCATTACACTGGATTTTCACGGCTCTTTTGCTTTGCAGAAGAGAGCCTGATAATCTACAGATGCGGTCGGCATTTCACCGTTGCTAATTCGCATACGATCAAGAAAGAACCATCTGCATTTAAGGTCCGGTTGATCACCTGACACACGACAAGAAAAAACATTCTTGAAACATATTGGCCCTTTGACAGAGACGAACAGTACGAAAGGTGCCGTCTATGCGTACTGCAAATATCGACGTCTGTGTGTCTACTGAAATAAACCCTTTCGTTTTAGAACCGAATGGCGGGTGTTCTACTTTACTGTGTTTCACCACGAAATTTACTTTAAGACAGCTTATACCCATTGTGCAAGAAGTAAGGTTCAAACTGCATGTTACTCGTTTTTTAAAATTTAAACTATACGGCTTATGGCGCAGGAACCTGCGCGAGTCTCATCATCAAATGAGACATTTAATAAAAGAAGGAAACCATGGAAAACTCAGTACGAAGCCGGAGCATGGCGTAAACAAATAGACGGCGATCTTCAGAATGCGAGTAAACAAATACCAAACTTAGGCATCATCTGAATCTGGCCGCTACTTAGGACAGAATGTCGATCTCATGCACTTGTTTTAAAGAAACTTTTATTAGCAGCAACATCGATTATTCTATGGCTATCGGTTCAGCTTTGTATGATTTCACACAGGAAGAAATAGAACAAATATCAGTAATATTAAAAGTTACATGATCCCTTTCCTTTTCATTAACTGAAGATTTGGCGAAGAATACATATTTCTGTGTTGTAGAATCCCCATTCTGGGCATCATTTCCAATATCATACCTCGTGTAGATTCTCCATCTTCTTTCCTGTACTTCTCAAAACTGATCTTCGCGTTCTGCGCCAGGTGCTCATCTTGACAGCA